GTAATGAAAATATGCAGTACATAGTAAAGTTGATTTAGATTAATTAGTGCTGTGATTTCTCATGGATTGGTGTAGAATACTTCTAGGTAAAGTGGATGAGTTAAAAGAATAAATAAAAAATTCCAGACTTTTGTGATGCATTAATAGGAAGAACTCACATATCCTATCCCAAGGTAGGAAAAAAGGAAGTTTAGCTCTAGCAAGATCACAGACTACTTTGCTTACAGATTTAGGAAATCGTCATTCTTTTTCAGAAGAGCAAGAGATTAATTTATATATATTCAAAAGTTTATGCAAACTGTGTAGTAGGTAATGGCCAAGATAAATTTAACATTTTTAATAGCAACCTTTTGCCAATGAAAGCAAGATCCGGTATTTCCTTGATGCTTTTTTTTTCAGTAGTAATGCAGCACAACTCAACATATAGTAGTGTTCCAGTGGTTTACTGACTATATCATTTCAATTTAGTGGGTTTTAGGAGACATTTAATTACTGAAGTGAACAACTACTTGGCTCATTTTCTTTAGCTATCAGACTTCTATGCTGAGGACTAACAGTGATTGTGTAATGTGATCAATTTTTAAGTAAGTCACTGTTATTGTTGAAACTGGACATGCCAGATGCATGCAAAACCTAACATTACTTGTTTTACTTCATAAACAGCCTTTCCAACATGTCAGTATCTCAGGAAGAGTGGTATTTGCCATATGTTCTGGGTTTTTTTTGGATGGATTTCTCCTAAGCTAAAGCTCTTTTAGCAAGGCTGAGAAAGCACTGCTGAGTGCAAAAGTGGAACAAGATGCTTCAGTGATCAGACTTGTATGTGATCAGACTTGTATGTTTTGTTTTTTTTTTTTTTTTCATAACTGGTATCAGGTCAGTATATACCTCTTGGTTGAAGACACTGTATATACTCTTGTATATTTGGAAAACCAGAATCCTTTACCAAACCCTCTCATAACAGCATGATTTGTAACCTTCCTGGGTGTGTATTCCTCTTTCTTAGTAATACAGAATTGCAAGAAGTTAGCTTTAGTGTGGTACATCCTCAGAATGAAGAGCAGTTTTACAGGTTAATGATCAAAAAGATGAAAGGGATAAGGCTTATTTTCTGCTGTACAGAGTTCAGCTATTTTCTGTTGTTGTCTGTAGCCCTGTTTTTCTTGACTTCATGGGATACAGGTCAAGGTGGAGTGAATGTGCTTTAAAATTGGTGTGAGGGGAGTGATTGCAGGTGGAGTGAGGTCAGAAATGGAAAAGATAACTGTTCCTTCAACTCATCACCTGGTAACTTAAGAGTTGCTACAGGTATCACTTGCTTTCTGAGGCTGGGCTGCTTTCATTAATGTTAAGTATTTTTCCGGCTTGTGCCTTTGCCGGGACAGTGAATGCATTTCAGTTGTGCCATTAGCGCCAACTGTCCGGGCTGCAGCATCAACATCCTTTAGAGAGCACAGTTGTATTTGAAGCTCATTCTCCCATTGCTGTTCCTGTGTGTTATGCAACAGGTCTTTGTGCCTGGAATTTGAGGAGGTAGACAGTGGGAAGGAGATGCAATTCAAACCCAGGGACTTGTTCTTGCTGGCTTGTCAGGCCACGGAACGTAACTGGAATCCAGCTGATGCTGTGAGTGTTCGTGGCTTTCCTTTGGCACCTGACTGCTTGTTTTGACGGTTCCCTCCTGCAGCACAGAACTAGACAGGGAAATGAATGAATTCGCTGGCAAATTTTCAGATATATTAGTTTTTTATTAACCATCATTTTCATTTCAGATTATTAACACACCCAAATGCCGTATGCTGCTGAACAGACAAGTCTGGGTACACACCCCAGCCTGATGATTTAGTTGGTTTTGATCTCTGTTGTACTCTTTTGCCACAAAGGCTTTATCTGCTCTCAAAAAACTCAGTCCAGTGAAGATAGCCACACATATGGCCTTGTGATCTTGAATTCCAGATGATTTTAAGCAGAAACTAATAATATATACTTACTTCCCCTTTATCTCCTTCTTTATAAATGAGAAGTTATATTGACAGACTTGGATCTGCTTTTGCTCTTTCCTTAGTCCAGGTGGTGAGTCTGTTTTCCTTTGTGAGTTACGCTGAAATACCTGTGCACAACTGTCCAGTTGATAGTGTTTTTGCAAAATCATTTAAGGATCTATGTACTGAAAAGGATTTTAGAGCAAAAAGCTATAAATTATATCTAATGTAAATAATTACAGTTCTAGAAACATGGTCTTTGATAGGTACAGAGAGCCTCTGTGAACTCAGCTTGGCAAAGCCAATCCATTTCCACAGAGACTGCTGTGTGGTAAGAAATACACTTCCTATTTGGGCCAGAACAGATTAGAAAATACAGGAGTGTGTGAAAAAATAATCAGATCAATAACAAATGGTAATGGCAACTACGTTGATCAGCACCCAGCTGAAGGCTGTAGTTGGGAAATCCAGGTTGTTATGGTCAAAAATAAGAAGTACAAAGACTTCTTGGGGAGAGCTTGATGTCCTCCCCCAGTAGTGCTCTCTGTATGGTCTTCAAATGAAATGTAAGAAATTAAACAGGCACACCCTCCTGTCTACCATCCCACCTCCAGTTGTTTTTTCTGATGCTTCAGGACATCCTCCTGGTGGCAGATGAGATTAAATCGCAGTAGTGGGCACAATTTGTAAACACCAAGCATTGTACAGCAGGCTTTTAGGAGCCTGATTTTCTGCTTTCTGTTAAACAGATGGCTGCTGCTGAGAAGTTTTGGTGCTGTCCTCTTGTATGATAGGGACAAAGTATTTAAAAGAATGATCTTATTTATTGAATCTTTTTATGTTAAATATTTCAATAAATTTTTGGAAGCGGTATGTTTGCAAAAATCGAGACACCTATTTAGATGTAAAGGAGCAAGAAATCTTCCTATGCAATTAAGAAGAAGACATTGCAGTTTCCATTCTGATTTCTAGATATTGTTTTCCACATATGGTCCTTGTTTCCATTATGTGGGAACATAAAATTGTTAGCTACAGAACAGTGAATGATAATACTTAAACTAATGGTTTTCTCAGTTTTTTCCTTTGTGCTTTTTAGAAGTCCTATTTTATGGAATAAACAGAATATGAATGGCTACATTCTTGCTGCTTTTGTAATGTGCTCTTGCTTCCACTCTCAGTGCTAGTGTTCACTTAGCAAATATTTATCTCCCATTACTGAGGACTTTTGAGCAGAAAATGTGGTGCTCATGATTTAAATTATGAGTACCTTTGTAATCACAGTCAAGTAGAATAGTTAAATGGGTGTAGACAGGAAGCAGGAGATCTAACTTGCTTAGACTTGAGCTGAGTGATGCAATATTTAAATGAAGATATTATAAATCAGGTTTAGCGTTACTTCTGTCCTTGTATTCAATGAAGTGAACTTGCTGGTTCTTCTGCATGAACTAGTGATGAAGGCATCTATACAGCTTTTTTAAAATAATTGCACACTGCTAACTCTGACACTGGTGGAGCAGTGTAGTTAATAAGTTTTCTATCAACGCCTGTTTTTATGTCTAAATGCATTGCAGATTTGGAGAGTGCGGTACCCTTTTATACAGTCATAACAGTGAGAGAATATAAATGTGGCTTTGTCTTACTGACAAAATGTGAAAATCTGATTCTAATATACAAATTCAAATTTTGAAACAACAGCAACATATCTGACTCTGGGATGTTTTCTTAAACCAGAACAATTCTGAAGCGAGTTTCTTGGAAAGTTTGAGTGATTTTTTTAAATTCTGTTTTGTTTTTTTTTTCATCTTTACAGAAACCTACTTTAGGAGACAATATACTTTACATTTTTTCCTGTTTAATAATTGGAAGACATTTTCTATTTCGCTTATGAAAACACCCTGTTGCACATGCCCTGATCATGTCACCTCTCTGTGGGCAAGTGTTGGTGACAGTCCCTCATTTGTGAGTTGAGATCTCACGTGATAGCCCTGCACTGCCACCCAGAGAGGGTGACCCCAAAGGTGTTCAGGTGTCCTGAAGGAGTGATTGGACCACTTTATCCCACAGATAAAGTTGTGTCAAGTCCAGTAAACTCTGGAAACAGCCAGTTTCCACTTCATGACTCTTAAGAACTGGTCTAAGCCAAAACACTGTATCTGACTGCTTCAGAAAATGTTTGAAGACTGTATTACTGCCACTGCATAGGGAATTGTGAATATTTGTTTACTGGCTGAGATCACGAAATACAACTTGGCCAAGCTGTGAATATGTTTGTAACATCGATGTAGTAGTACTTGAATTCAAATCAGTGTCAAGTCTGGTTCAGTTTCTTTTGTATTTAGCAAACAGTGCATATGAGTTGACTCTTACACAACATTATGTTCATTTTAGACAGATCATGGAATAGGAACTTAAATGTGAACATTTATGCATTTTTTTTCTTCCATGTTGTTTGGTTGGTTAATATATAGAAATAATTGCTAAAATTTGGAACCATAAATAGCTGTGGATTTTCATAACTCAGAGAAATCACTGGCTTCAATGTTGTTGTTTTCTTCCCCCGCACCCCTCTACAGTATAACTAGTCTCTATAAAAGTACTCCCTTCTCTCCTAGACCTCTCTTCCCTCCCAAACCTCCCCCACCAAATCCTTGGTTTATGCAAAACCTTTAATAGAGTAAAAGAGAAGGGCTTGAGAGAAGGGCTGCTCTGACGTTTGGAGAAGGCTTTAATGAAAAGTTGCATTGTTATTTCATATTTACTTACCAAATCCCGCCAGAGTAAATTCTTGCCAAACTAGTTTTATGTATTTCTTGTCTGGTCTTGCTCATGTATTGTTTTGTATCAGGACCTTGTCTGACAGGAAAAGCGACCAGAGCAGTTCAGGCTGTGGCACTACTAGTAGGTGATGCAGGAAAAATGAAGTTTATCTAAAACTTCTTATGCAATATTGAGAAACTTTTAAAGGAAGTAATTAGCAGAAGTGATGCAGCTTATATATCAAAGCTATTTTTAAGTAGATTGTGCATGCTGGAATAGCACAATAGTGATTTAGAAGTGGGTGTTCCTACTATTGATTCTGTAATCATGAATTTTTTTTACATTTGCCTTGGAGGTAGGAAATAGTTGTGGTAGGAAGGAAAAAACAAGGATACAGGAATATTGGAGCTGTAGTTTCAGTTTAGGTGCTGTTTGTTTTGATGGATGTAGTAGTCATGTCACTGAGCTGGTATTGCAGTTATTTGTTTTTCATGTTTCCTTTCTTCAGTAAGAAGATTAAGTGTTGCAAGCAAAAATGGTGAAGTGGGTGATGTATGAGGGATCAGACACTCTTAAAGCCCAAACTAGGTTTTCCGTCTCTGTTTTTGCAGTGCAGGCTGGCTTATGGTTCAATTCTGGCTTGACTCTGAGAGGGAGAAATTAGCAGAGGAAACAGAGTCAAGTCCTTTAGGAGCGCAAGATGCTTCATAGTTTATCTGTTTAGTTGTGTCTTCAAAGTCTGGGTCTTTCCAAATGTGCTTCAGTCTTTGGTGTAGATATGAGAGGCAGAGGAGATTTTGTAATGGACTGGAGGGTGAGGAAGGATCCTCTTCCCTTTTAATTTGAGAGCAGATTTTGCAAAGGCACCTCTTCGGCTGACTTCCCTTATAACATGTTTCTTAAGGAACGTTGAAGGATTTCTGGTGTACATAGGTGGCTTTTCCCAGCCCTTTCTGTGTTAGTGGAGTATTCAAACTTACACAAAAGTTCATCCTGGTATTTGCATTACATACCTTTTTTTACAGAGCAGGTTTCTCTATCATGTAGCTAGATATGCACCTCTGTATGCATGATAATGTAAATTATGTAATACTATTTTTAGTTATTCCTGAATTTTTACTTTTAAAAAATGGATGCTGGATTATCTCCTGTGATGTGCTACAACAGTAAGTGCTGTTTAGGGAAAAACCATGTACTAGAAATCCAGTTAATTGTATAATAAATGCTTGCTTAGAAGAAATGGAAGGTAATGATATTTAATACTTAGAGAAATTAGAGAAAAAAGTCTGTAATTTAATTTCTGAAATGACTGATCTAATGACTCTGTAATATAATTCTGAAATCTGATCATCATCTGATGATAACTTAAAGCAGTATTTAAGGTGGATGTACTTACACAATGAAGCAAGTTTCATAGTTATCAGAATTCCCCAAAATATTTGACCTATGCATATATATCATGTGCAAATAAATAGAGTTCTGGGATATTAAAGCCAAAATGAATATCTCTTGATATTCTTTTGTTCAGTATGTTCTGTCAAGATTTAAGTACATATACGGATTTAGAGGAATTATGGTGGTCCCATTTCTTCTCCTGCCCTGTTGTTAAGAAATCAAAACATTGTCAAGGCTTTTTAGGGGGGAAGCTATTTATTTATTTATTTATTACTTTTCTTTTTGGTGTAGTGTTTTTTTTTTTCCCACTTCTAGACACTGATATTTTAAAAAAATGATGCTAATTGCTATTTTTAGGATGTCAAGAACATGCGACATGTTGCAAGTTTGGAGGTCCTCACATTAGTCACCTTGTGTGGTCACACCTTCTCAGTGAAACCTGAGGCAGCTCCATTAATGTGAGATATTGAATAACAGCCCCGGGATGTTGTTTGGGGGCGTGTTTGAGATGCAAGAAAAATTATGTATCATGTTCAGATTGAGTTTCCCCCGTTAGAAAACAAATCCTTTAAGGAGTAGCATGTTGAGCACTAAACAGCCCTCTGGTCATGTAGCGATAGGCAGGAGACACTTTGTGGACACAACCCTATTCCTTATGGTTTCCTTTGGTATCAAAAGTAATAATAAAGACTATAAAGCTGGTCTTCCCAGTTACTGGTAGATACACGTAAAAGCACAAAACCACACACACACACATTTATGTGCATCTGTATTTATACATTCTATGTGTGTGTCTATGTACCTTTTTTATATAAAATGTGGAAAGTGTTCTTAGTATAAGATTTAGATATTCCATCTACTGACTCTACCGAAGGACAGGTAGAAAGCCCTTTGATGGCGTTTACATATTGGTTTGCACCCTTTATAGCTGTTCTGTGAATAACCCACAGTCTTCACAGCTGTCCTGTAATGTTGTGTGCCTTTTGACCACTGTCTGAGATAGTTTATTTTGAGGACAGTATATTTTCCTTTTATATAGTTCATATGTTCAGTAACATTGGGAATGCTGTTCCCTTGTGTGTCAGTGATAGGATTGTGACTCATATAGAACTGATGAAAGTGGGAAGACTCCATATCTAATCTGAGACAATTTAGAAAAAGAATTTTGGTTTTACATGCCAGTTTACATTTACCTACAGAAATATGACCTAAATAGATGTTTGGTGTCAAGCATTTGTAGGATGCAATGCTAGCTTTGTGGTTGAGTAACATTTTTCTGTAGGCATGTGATGTCTGATGTTATTTTCTTCTCCTTTTGTGCAGGATCCAAACTACTGGATACAAGTACATCGACTGGAGCACGGGGATGGTGGGATCTTAGATCTCGATGACATTCTCTGTGATGTAGCCGATGACAAAGACCGTGTAAGTACAGATGGCTACGAAGGAAGCTCAGTGCAAACTGTGCACTGGGATATCAGTGTTCTGTGTTTCCTGCATGTGTCCCAAAGTAGGAGTCAATACAGAGATTTTGGAGGGTTTTTTATGTAGTTTGCTTGACAGATGTGAGAAACTGGTTACTGTCGTATTCTTTTTTTAAACTGAAACAATGGGTTTCCCATCCTTTTTCGTTATTTAACGGTTCAAATAGGAAAAGAAGGCTGCAAGAACAAAAAACGTTCATACAGTGGAACAATAATGCAATAAAAAAAAAAAAAAAAGATTCTCTAAATTGACCTTTTAGCTTTGTGTTACCAGTTGAATATGTCCAAAAAAATGTCTGGTTCTAAACTGTGGAGTGTTGGATTGTTTTTCAGAAATTGTTTTTGGCAGAACTGCTAGTTACACAGAACTTGAGACAGTATTACACACTGCTGGGTTTTGACTGCTTTTATTCTTTTTTTAAGTAGAGATTTAGGTCACAGTCAGCTAACAGGCTTTTGTTTATTGGCTGTTTGTTTGAGGTTATAGATATTTGCGTCTTTGGGTTACATGTTCAGAAAAGGTAGGTAAGAAACACTGTGGCAAACTGTGAAGTCATATATAAATATGCCACTTTTCTCTGGAAAGAGATGTGTTTGCTGAAGCTCTTGAGAGCATCTGAGCCTGATACAGACTTCAGTCTGGAAATGTGTTGTAGGACCACGCTCATTCACAGACAGTGAAGCGACAATCCTTAATTGTCACTGTTGGAAGCAACAGGCACTCTGAAGGCTCCTTGAAAACTGGCCAAATGATGACTCTTAAGCTAATTTTTCAGAAATAGATACTTTGTCTGTAGTTATTTCTTTTGACAAAATTTAATTTACATGGTTATTTCAACCAAGACTTTATAAAGAAGAATTATGTGAGGAGTCTTGGCATATGGAGGCTCCTCGCTGTCTGAAATGTTGGGATTACTCAAGCTGTATAGAGTAACAGTGCCGAGTTTTCAGGAATTTCTTCCATAAAAATAGTGCCCAGCTAAGATTTCATGAAAAGCTAATTAAAACCTCTAGTTGGCTATCTCATACTGAAGTGCTCAGCTGCATGATTAGTTTAGCTTTTGCTTACAGGCCTCAAGGAGGCTGCTGCAAGTTGTTACTAAGATTATATATATATATGAATGTATACACACAGTTATTTAAATCATGCACTTCTTAGCTCCTCACGTACTCCTCCCTTCAGAAGAAATTTGAATTCTGGTGACTTCAAGACCTTATTCTTTGGCTGTTACCTTGTCTTGCTGCCTTCAAGTGGGGTAATTCCTCACAGTGAAACTCTGTGGGTGTTTTTATGTGCGTGACTAATAGCTGAAAAACTCTGACTGCAACTGAAGCAGGCAGTCACTATTACAGTATTGTTTTTGTGTATAGATGGACAAGATACCTAGCAATTAGTAGTATTTATCTCTGCATTTGCCAAGGTCATCTCTACTGATGGCACTTTTGAGTTAAATTTTCTTTTTTTAAAAGACCTCATAGTATTGATACATATACAAACATACACTGTGCAATACTGCTTTAGATCCTGGAATTAGTCATTCTCACTTGACCTTCACCTTTGGTTCTTTTCAAGTATTTTGGTCATTAGTCATTGGTTTTTCAGTTTCCCCTTGGTGTGTTTTACAGATGACTTTCCTGGTTCTCTTTAGTTTTGGATTGTTAGCTTTGCCTCCATAGCATGTGTGTCAACTAGTTTTGTGTTGGCAGAACCTAATATAGGTCTCATTAATGCAAAGTTTGGAATATATCTCCAGTTGGGGATATTTCATATATGTACACTTAAGGATA